ATTGGAATATGAGTTCCATCAATGGCACCAGCACACATAGGCATTCCCCACTTTTTATCGTAATTATTTATTAAGTTCTTCTCCCTGTGGAAATTTTATAACTCTTGACAACCGTTGGTTGATTGCCTCACAAACGTCTTTGATGCAAATACAGACAAAGGACGTCGAAACACCAAAGAGATGTGCAATTGTCCTGTATTCTGCCGTTGAAGCCAGGTAGTAAAGGGTTAGTGCAAGTCGACGTTCAGCAGGTATAGATTTTCTCATTGTTGTATCTTTTCTAGATATCTCTTGACGTATTTCTTCTAATATGAATGTGAATGTTGCTCTAGTTACTCTGAAATTTTGGTACCACTGTTCGTCGTCGAATAGAGCAGTAACTACCTCGTACCAAATAGCCGTCCTTCGATGTGTCCATATCTCTCGCATTCGTGGCGGATGAATACACGACAACACAACATTTACTCGAAACAACAACTCCTGTCGTCTCTTAACGTACTTTTCTAGTATTGAAGTGGGTTTTTTCTCGGTTTTCGGCTGATATAATGATCGTCTTCGTTTCAATAAGTATAAATATGTAATTCTATTTCTGTCCGCCATCTTTAAAATACACCGTCGTAAATAGAAAGTAGAGGTGCCGTTTCTCGATGGGCACGGTGCCCATTATCAAAGTGTGTCTACAAAATAATTGTCGTGTAAACGAGTAAATAGCGAGATGGGAGTTTCGGCACGGTGCCCATTTTCAGGGGTGCCGTGCCCAAAACGCTTGTCGTGTAAACCCGACCTTTTTGTAGCCACCTGACACCACTGCTCCCAGTGTACCCACAATTAAACATAGTTAACATACAAACAGTCAAAAAAAGGAAAGGTTTGTTTCCTCCAAAGAAGGACTAAAGCTCATTTTTAAAAATAATTTAATATCTTTAATTAGCTATTTCTCTATTTTCAGTTCAATATTTTCTATTTGGTTGCATTCATGTTTAACTGAACAGTATATAAATGTTTACCTGGCTTCAGACAGACACACCTGATTAAATTCCCGTTTTAAAACAGTAAAATTTATTACAATAGTCAAATAGCAACATAATCCATGACCATGGTTTGTGTTTAATAAATTTGTTGTGATGACATATTATTAATTCTCCAGGAATTAAATGATTTAAATACCGTATATTGCATAAAACATTCCTTTAAAAATACTATAAATATATTAAAATTTTATTAATACTATAAATATATATATTATTCGGTTTTTTAATACAAATTTATATTACTCAGCTCTTTGCTTTTAACAATATTGTTAATTATTGTTTGAACAACTAAAATCAACTTGTTCAAATAACAACATTGTTAATTATTGTTTGAACAACTAAAAACAACTTGTTTATTCAACAATATTGTTCACACTTGTTCGAACAATATTGTTCAGGCATGATGATTCAACAATGAGAACAATATTGTTCTGACAACCGTTAGCAAGTTGTTCCATCAACTATTGTCGAGCCCTGTTCCAACAACAGCGCAACAATATTGTTCACTCATCAACCTCTAACAATGTTGATGGAACAATGTTGAACAACATTGTCGCTTGAACAACGTTGTTCAGCCATGATAACCTCATTGTTGCAACGTTGTTCAGCGAACAATGTTGCAACAACCTGATCAATTTTTACGCGTGTACATGAAGTTCCTCAAACGTTCTATACGGTCAGCGGATGCACTACAGAAAATTATTTATTTTCTTGTTTATGTTCGTAGTTTTTCATTATATATACAAGATGTGTCGCTTGTTGCCAGGTTGTTGCTTAATAGACGCTTTCTCGACGCGACTGATGCAGCATTGCAGTAGATATTTTTTTCATCAAAAGTGGGTGAAATCATGACCGAAGTTTGCTTTTTATTCGACCCTTTGCGGACACCGTTAGCCTATGATCCATCCTTCAAAGGTGAGCAAAATATTGGAGACAATGATATATTTGGGAGTATTTTATATACTGTACTAACCGTTTTATACTTTTATGTCGTTGTTTTATCAAGGTATCAATGTGATATATCCGAGGATATATCACGTTGTTATGTATAAGCTGATTAATTATAGTCATATTGAATCTTATTGATCAATTTTGATTTGTCAATTGTGTAAAGTACTAAAGTTGTTCACTACTAGTCAAATTTTTAATCCTATTATGATATGAGCTTAATGTCCACTCGAAGATTTAAAGTTTCAGTATGCAAAAACTTGTATTCCTGCACACTCGCACTCTAAACCTCAATGCCATGCACTTGCATGGTCACTCCCATGAGATTGTTCCTGCTCCACACTGGAATCTTTGCAAATGCACAGAAGAAAAATCGATGATATTTTTGGGCGCGGATGTATATTAAAGAAGACCAATAATATACATCCGGATGACCACTATTGCGTCGGTTCATCCTGCGCTGGTTACTCTAGCTTACTCAATGAGTCAATTTGCTGAAATAGGCATAGAAATCGAGAATATAAAACGCATAAATATTAAATAACAACGTTTGTCGTGTCAATGTCCAAATGTTTGTTTTCTTAATAAAAAGATAGGAAAATAACAATATTAATTAAGACTAAAGTCTAAATTATGACTGCTTAATGGCACACAGTTTTATAGTTTTTGCATGGATGCAGTTGACATCTCACAAAAAATGGAGTGGAGAAGATCTTCTCTGCACATTACAGAGATTCCAGTCTGGCTCATGCCATCGCAATCTCGTTCCCCGAGCATGCCCGTTCGCAGGTTAAGGGTGGGCATAGCTCTGGAGAAATCGAATTGATTCAGGCCTGTGATTGGCATGTGATTGGCATGCTTGGCATGATGTGATTGGCATGCTTGGCAATTGTTGGAAAATATAAACAAAGTATTTGGAATTTCTCGTCGAAAATTTGCTACTTTTTTACACTGAAATCGATTGAAAACAACTAGAAATTCTGGAGGGAATATGTGCGAAAGCTTCGGATTGATAGGGATACAACTACCTGAAAAATACAAGCAGAACTTCGACGTTTCGAGCGAAGGCGCTTCGACTTGTGCTGTTAGTGTTTGTATACATCGTACTTGCCTTTTATATACTGTCATACCTAACACTACGTATACCATAAATTCTGACAGGAGAGTTAAATGTAAATTTTAAAGCATAAAAATATATAATACTTATTATTGAGGAGATTATATTTATCAGCAAAGGTCAAGTGCGATGTATATACAAACACTAACAGTATGTAGCGCCTTCGCTCGAAACGTCGAAGTTCTCCTTGTATTTTTCAGGCAGCTGTATCTCTGTCCAACCGAAGCTTTCGTACTTATTTCCCCCAGAATTTTTAGTTGTTTTCAATTCGATTTCAGTGTAAAATGTATCAAATTTTTGACGGGAAATTCTAAATACTTTATTTATATTTTGCAACATTGCCGAGCATGCGTAGAACTCACGTTGGAAATTCAACGTGAACAATTCGATTTCTTCAGAGCTATGCCCACCCTTAACCTGCGAACGGGCATGCTCGGGGAACGAGATTGATGCCATCGTTTCTATTCCTAAACTGCATTATGTATATATTTTACTGTAGTCTTTTCCTTTTTGTAATCTAGTCATAATTTTGTTTAGTGGCTGTGCCTTGCATGGGTCTTGATTTCCCATTTGCACTAACCCAATATCCAAGGCCGGCGAGAGGGGGTGGGGGTGGCGGCAGGTGGGGGGGGGGGAAATACCTGGGGCCCGGAGTGGTCAGAGGGGCCCGGAAATCTCGGGAAAATATTTGTATTTATGTATCATCGAAACATGTTTGTCTAAATGAAATATGCCTACTTGCACTATCACTGATCATCGTCATCGATCGTAAAACATACCAGGGATGGATTTACTGGGGTGCGAAGTATAATAATAATAATAATAATAATAATTGATGTTTATTGAAACTCTCTTGCAGTATATTTACACTGAATTAACGAGTCCAAAGTATTACTAAAACTATATTTACATGAATACATACAACTGTTAAAACTATGTATAAACATTAAAAATATTTAAAGGTAAAAAATTGTTCAGATCTTAAAGTTCTGCATTTGGTTGTGTTCTTAAATAAAATAGTATGTCTTGCCCATTTCGTAAGCTATAACTGCATTGATTTCGCTCATCTTATGTTTTGGGAGCATAAAATGCAGGGGATGATCCTCCTTCTTCACTTTAGTCATATATTTTTTACATAACAGTTCGCATCTGCTCTCCAATGTTGGTGTCTGTGCCATCATCATCGCCTCATTATAATTGTCTATGGAAGGGAAAATGATTCGAAGTTCCCTTGTCTGTATTGATTCTATCCTTTCACTTAAGGTTACTCCATATGATGAAAACATTGATTTTGTCCTTTTTTACATTTTTATCGATTTATATCGAGGGGCTAGAGATCTTTCCATTTCCGCAAATATTTTTTGAAAATATTAAAATGCAACCGAGATATAACCGAAAATGTTATAGTCTAATTCCCCCGCCCCGGGAAAGTTTTAATTGTGATTGACAGTTTGTGGATAAGTTTGACCACAGGGTGCATGTTACACATCTGTGGCGGTATTCAACATTGGGCGGCTTGTTTGTTTTAGATATAGCTATATCACTGTAATATTGTCGGTACACGTACACAACACAGTGAAAGTTGCTTTCTAAGTAAAACGCCAGTTTAAAAAGTGATCAATCTTATATATAACTATATAAAGTGCGCTTGCTTATCACCTTGTCATTGATGCTGAGTCAAAATGAAACCCAGCCAAAACACACTTTAAAAGTCGAACCTGATTGGCTTCAGTTTGAAGTGATGACAGGGGGCGGAGAAACATAACAGAGAACGGAAAATCTCAGCGAAATCACTTTTTGTCTTTTACAGAGAAGGAATTATCAGCCCGGTTGTCCTCACAAAACGAGTTATGGAACGGGCACGTTTTATTCAATTGCTACCAAACTTTACCACAATGTAGAACAACATCAGAGGAGCAAATCAATGTTCGCGTTTTTCTTTTAATTCTTTAGTTTTCAAATTATAGGCTTCTGTTCTATCGTTATTGCAAATTTTTGATGAGTCAACTTATCTGCTTTATATCTCGGCAAATATAATACCTGTCAAAAAACGCGAACATGGTTTTCTTCTTTATCATTTAACATGGGAAATGTGATATTTCGGAAGCTTCTGAGTTTAATCGGATGGTTCTAAAGCTCGTCGCGCGAAGTGCGTCATATTTTCAAAATCAGCTCGTCGCAACCATAGTTTTTAAAAATGTATAATTTTTTTTGAAGTAGTAGCAGCAGCAAGGATTTATCGTTGTGAGTGCCAAATTTGAGGGGGGGGAACTTAAAAATTTAGTGCGCAGCGAGCATTTTCCTGAAATGGACTTTCATCATGTGGAGTAACCTTAAAGTGCCTATGCGACAATTTTTTTTATGATTGAATTGCAAAGTTCATTTAAAATTATAATATAACTTGTTTTTTAAAACTTTGTAATCTTTCCTAATTGTCAAGATTTTCGACTTTGTTTGATATACAAATGTGACTTAAATGACGTCACACTGCATAATGCTTTTACAGAAGACTGTGTTGTAGCTTGTTAAAATTCTCATTATCTCAAATTTATAGACGAAATGATCGCTTTGATAGCTCTTAAAGTATATCACTTTCAATGTCAGTGGAATTATTACATGTTTGGCAAGGAAACGTTTTCTTTCTAAAAACTCATTATGCAGTGTGACGTCATTCAAGTCACATTTGTATATCAAACAAAGTCGAAAATCTTGACATACAGGAGAGAATACAAAGTTTTAGAAAACAAGTTATATTATGATTTTACATGAACTTTGCAATTCATTCATAAAAAAATTGTCGCATAGGCACTTTAAGTAGTCAGGGATCGCTTGCCATATTGGAACAGCATATTCCAATACGGGTCTGATAGTAGTTAGATACACTTTTAGTATATTCCTTTGCTCAACACCAGCTCTACGAAGTACGCGGAGGGAATATAGCTTCTTACAAGCATTTTTGTAGATATAATCAACATGTTTATTCCACTTGAGATCCTCACTCAATTGAACTCCAAGTAATTTATAATTGGTTACCCTTTCTACTACGTTGCTGCCTATTACAAAAGGCCTCATTATGGAGTTGTTATTATTCATAAAATTAATTACCATCTCCTTGCATTTAAGTGGGTTGAGACTCATGTTATGATTTACAGAGAATTGATGTAATTCATCTACCGTATGGTTCAGATAACTAGTCGGCACCAGAGCACCACCCCACCAGATCATGCTGGATCCATCCCTGACCAAATGTGAAATTATAAACGATTTTTCGATCATTTTTTCAGCTGAACATCATTCACATTGCGTTTTTATCAGTTATACGGCGATTTCTTGCAAGTAATTTGCTGGCAATTCTCTCGTTGATTGCGATTAAAAATAGCAAGCGGAAGAGTCGAGAGGGACATGGCGGGGCCCGTGTTCACCAATCGTCATTTTGTCCTGGGGCCCGTAGTTGGCTCTCGCCGGCCTTGCCTATATCTATAATTTATATAATCTATAAGATGTAATCCGCTATAATTTTGTGTCCAATAAAGATGAGAAAAAATATTGTAAATTATACAATAACAATGACACTTGCAGTTACCTACTCAAATAAATAGAGAGTTATAGATTGACGTTTACCGCAAACGTCAAACCGCTAACGAAGTTTGTGATTTTACAACTCTATTATAACAGCTTTTACACCAGTTTTGAAATATATTAAGCAATTATTAAACTTGTGGTATTTAACAATAATTCAAGAAAACAAATTAACCACTCGTCACGTATTCACCAAAGCAGTAAATTAAGATTTAGCGTTTGAAATTTACGTTTGGCGTATAAATTTCATGCTTGAACTGCTACGAGGGCTTGTAGTCGTTAAAGCATGAAATTTATACGCCAAACGTAAACTTCAAACGTCAAATCTTAATATACTGCTTTGGTGAATACGTGAGTAGTGGTTAATTTGCTTTCTTAAATCATTGCTAAAGAGCACAAGTTTAACAATTGTTTAATATATTTCAAAACTGGTGTAAAAGCTGTTATAGTAGAGTTATAGAATCAAAAACTTCGTTAGCGGTTTGACGTTTGCCGTAAACGTCAATCTATAACTCTCTAATAACTAGAAATGCATGCAGTAAGCCTCACCAGTGAAACAGAAGTGGAGGACAATGTATGATGTCATCAAGAAATTGATGTGTTGCAAATGGCAAAGGTGCAAGGGGCCAGCTAGAGTGGTCCAAGATCATATGTTTTTTGTTTGTTTGTTTGTTAAACTTTATTGAGTACAAATTAATTCAACAATTATTTATCTAACATACAATTAAGAGCTGTACTCAAACGGACAAGGCACAAACTGGACGTAAAGTCCATTGCATGGTGCCCCTCCTTTTCGTAACATAAACCTTTTAATTAATTCACAGTATACAGTACAGGGTGTCCCAAAAAAAAACAACCACTGAAACAACGCACTGCCAGAATCCGAACGGCCCAGCACCAACTGAACGCAAAGATACGTAAATATGATCGACATGATGCATATAATATGAGTATTGAAGAAATTAAAATATCTTTGTAAGCTCATGATTATCTGCTCTTTGGAATTTAAGCAACTTCTTAAACAGTTTCTTTATTCGTAAAATTTACTTTTGTCAAGCTTTTATGCACTTATAGGTTCAGCAGAGTGCTAAGGCAATTCAACTCCCAAGCAACACGCCATCTCAACAGCTTTGGTCCCCTCTGGGGCACCCTGTATAACATATTTACTTAATAAATAAATATTAATATTATGCATGCACATTAATTTGATTAGTTAAGTTAGTTTATTATTTGTGACAACCACAATCACGTTTAAGTGACCAGGTGCAAGTCATGTCCGGATCAAATACTGTTTCCAGAATATTCTTATACCTCATCTTGAGGTATAGTTTGAAAGACGATGGCGATGTAAAACTGGCAGGATCAATCGAGACACAAACACTGTTCCATAATTTGACAACACGATTAAAATACGACGAACTGTACGTACAAGTTTTACACAACGGAGTTTCTAAGTATTTGGATCTCAATGCTCTACGTGTCCGTCCATGATTGACAAAGTTAACAAAATTTGAGACATCAATCTCAATATATCCGTTCACAGCCTTATAAAAAAATACTAAGTCTTTGACCTCGCGATCGTACGCAAGAGGGAGCATATCCAGTTGCTGAAGCCTCTCTTTGTAGGATAGTTCACCGGCTTTGACGCGCAAGATCCATCTCGTAGCACGTCTCTGAATCTTCTCAGCCTTTTGTTTCAATAAGGAACTTGCTGGAGACCAAACCTCAGTCGCATAACTTAACTTGGACCTAACCAACGTCAAATAGAGAGTCTTTCGAACACTACTGTCAATAATTGAAATACATGTTCGCTTTAATAGACCGAGTAATTTGTTAGCTTTCGCACAAATGCAGGTAAGATGTGATTCCCATGACAAATTCTCGGTAATGATCACCCCGAGATCTTTTTCTTCGTTTACTCTAAGTAACTTAGTAGAATCCATATGGTACTGAAAATGCAATGGATTGACCTTGCGTGTTATGGACAGAACTTTGCACTTTGACGCATTAAAGTTCATGTTATTTTGATAACTCCAAGAACCAAGTTCTGTTAAAGCGTCTTGTAATTTCTCACAGTCACCGATAGTTGATACGTTCCTGTAGAGTTTGGTGTCATCTGCGTAAAGTCCTGTAGATATACAGTCTGGCACAACGTCTGGTAAATCGTTTATGAATATTACAAATAGCATAGGACCCAAAATACTTCCTTGCGGACAAAGAATCGGTTCAAGAGTCTGAGCAGCCCTTAGACTTCACTGCATGGTGTAACAAGATGAAATCAAATTAACCACAGTTCTGTTTCTGGTCACAGGTGTTGAAGTTAGAGTTATTAGTGCACGAGATAGTAAAAACGATACGAGACGGAGACTTTGATCAGTACGTGCAATCACTTGCTAGCATCATGCCGTGGATGTTTGCACTTGATCGTGTGAACTATGCGCATTGCCTGTCAGTTCACGTTCGAGACATGTCATCACTGTCACTAACACATCCAACTGTCTATCAACAGTTTACGTCTGGCGCCTTTGTAGTCAACAAATCAGCTCGAGCATTTTCTTCCATTGCTCTCGACCATGCACATGAACATTTCGCCAATATTTATAAACTAGT